GGTATGTTTGCCCAGAACAGAACCATACCTCCAATCAAATCTGAATGATAATTATGATTTATATTGATATGATATGATTTTGTGATCCTGGCTAAAAGAATCATGATGGCTGGTTTGTGCAAAAGAAACATTGTTTACAACATTATTACCTTATTAATCCACAGCTTGTTCATGTTCATGTTCATGAGTGTGTTCATTGAAGTCTGGTCTGTGAGCTTCCTGTCACATCATGACATGTATTACATGCACTAACCAGGGTGTTAAAGACCACAGACTATAGCATCTGTGACTAGTGACTCTCTTGAGAACAGAGGAGAGAGCTTTAATCGCACGGCAATCATTACATCGCTGTATATACAGCATCTTTTTTTTTTTGCCTCCCAAAATGCTGGTAATTGATTTGCATTTTATGAATCATCACAGATCCAGGAAAAAATTAAATAAAATTGCTGGAAAATAAAGTCAGCTACATCTTGTTGTGCCTGAGGGTTAGTAAAATAACAGCAAATTTTCATGTTGAGGGTACTATCCCCAAAGGCCAACAATGTAAGCTATAGCTATAAGCTACAACCATAAAGTCAATTACTATTGGTAAATATTATATTACTCAAATTTATTCTGACAGCCAACCATCAAAAACATATATCTGCGCACAAACTGCACATGCTAAACCTCAAAAAAGCTCTCAGGTCTGCCACAACCTCTACACCCAAGAGAGAAAGGTGAAATGAATCTAATTATGTTACAAAAAAAAAAAGAAATGGATAAATAAACCATGCAGATTTATATGCACGTTTGCACAGCTTTAAAAAAAAAAGAAAAATCAAGGAAGACAGAAATAAAAACTATGCCTCAGCAGATCTGTATTGCTGGAGTGCAGCAAAAAATAATGTACCCGTGCGAATGATTAAATTGTTCACTGGCATATGAACACAGATTGCCTCAACGACTCTGTAAATCAGCAGAGGACTGTTAGTCTCTTACCAACTGCCGCCCTCTCTTTTTTCCTATAGCCGTCTCATGCAATTAAACAGAAGCTGTTTGATACTGAAAATTGTCCTCTTCAGGCAACAAGGCTTTAAATAAGCATGCAAGAGGCCTAGCCATGGAAGTCTACGAATAGTGATGTTGTATATTACACAGAGCTCGTTACATTCTGGAATCACACCCACTCCAGTTTCTAGAGGAAAAGTCAATCTACATACAGAAAAATAATACATAAATAAATGTCAATGAATAAATAAAGATACGTTTCTATTTATAGAATTATCCATGCATTTATTACAGCTTAAAGTGACATTTACAGGCTTAACTAGGTTAATTAGGTTAACCCATAGGCAGGTTAGGGTAATTAGGCAAGTTACTGTATAACAATGGTTTGTTTATCAAATATATAGCTTAAAGGGACTAAAAATGTTGACCCTTTATTTAAAACTGCTTTTATTCTAGCCAAAATAAAACCAATAAGACTTTCTCCAAAAGAAAAATTATTATCAGACATGCTGTGAAAATGTCCTTGCTCTGTTAAACATCATTTGGGAAATATAAAAAATATTTATAATAATTAAAAAGGGGGCGTATAATTCTGACTTCCACTGTAACTTGGGTGAACCTTTGATACAATAGCTGTAAACACATTGTAGGTTCTGTGGATGGGGCAGTCATTGGTGAGGGTTTCTTCAACTCTATAGAGGACACCTCATTAATGCACTGCTGAACAGAGCAGCAGGGACATCTACTGGAGGAAGAACTTCTGAAGTTTCAAAAAAAGCGGTTGAATTTTGTATAACTGTATATTCAAAGCTGCTTTGTAGATATTGCGTTCCTCAAACTGTCAAGTGGCTCACATTTGCGCCTATGCCTTATTTGAAAAGGCAAAAAGAAAACGCAAAAGCAAATGCTACTTGAACTCTTGCAAATTGCTCCAGCAAAACTAAGGGTTGGTTTGTTCTTGATGCTGTAACATTTTACAATCAGACGGGCAACATGAAAATATTGGACATAAGGAGCTTACAAGCACTGTGTGTGTGTCTACAGTTGAATCCTATGGTTTTCAGGCTGACTCTCTGAATGACGCATGATGCATTATCTTCACAGATGACATGGTGCATTTTAAAAAATCTCCCTAGAAAAGTGCAATTTACAAAATGAAACACTTGTCAGTTTTGTACACATAATAGGGTCCTCCGTTTCAACAATTGTAGTTCAAAAATTCCTCCAAGAAAGAAACAATAAAACAAAACAAAACAGTGGGAAATAGGAAGGCAAGGGACAATTTTAGCCTTTGTAGAAGTTCAGCATCTTTACAGGTGTATTTTAATGACTTTTTTGTATAAGGTAATGCTAATTGCTGCCATCCACTTTCTGCATTCGACCCAGGAGGTATTTTGGCATGTATGTTTTTTGCTTCTTTAACTTCAGATGCAGATACTTTCCCACCTATGAAGCTCAAAAATGCTATAGAAGTCCTTTATTAAAATGTTATCCGCCTATAATATTTTGATTTAATGGCTAAAGATTTTAAAGATTGAAGATACCATTGGGGGAAAAATCTAAAATTCATTTAAAGCAAACTGACGTTTGATTGATATCAATAAATAAACCATAAAAGTACTCTCTGGCTGTATTATTCCAAATGTTATTCTGGGGTTTTAAATATTCTTAGTGGGAAAAACACTTGCTCTTTTATATTATAATGGCTATAAACATTACTATTTAAACATTATTATAAGTTGAGCATGCTGAATATTCTTTTTTTTGTAGTTTTTTGTCAGTAATGGTATGTTGTTCTAGTTGTAGTCATATACTGAGTAAAATAAGTAAGTATGGAAGGATATACTGGACAATTTTCAAATGCATTTGTTAATCCTGCATTACCGTTTGCATTTCCATATTCACGAATGTGCAGTGCCACATTTCAGATGAAAAAGCAAAGTCTATGCGCAAATGCTTTTACCTCGCCAATGAAAAAATCATGTAGCTTAAATACAGCCTACAACAGACACTTACATCCGGCCCACATACCGCATGGAATGATGGCACTTGGGTAGTCCGCACCTGTTTGCCAGATCTGGGTCACAATTAAGCCATAGCAACACACATCTCAGTCGAAATTTAACCAAATAAACCAGAACTGATCCTATTCTGGGCCACAGTTTGCTTTTATTCTGGCCCAGATATGGGCCACAAAAGATACTTACATCCGGCCCACATACGGTATGGAAAGATGGCACTTGGGCAGTCTGCTCCTGTTTGCCAGATCTGGGCCACAATTAAGCCATAGCAATAAACTTCTCAGCCAGAATTCAACCAAATAAACCTGAACTGACCCTATTCTGGGCCACAGTTTCCTTTTATTTTGGCCCAGATCTGACCCACACCAGATACTTAAATTTGGCCCACATACCGCATGGAATGATGGCACTTGGGCGGTCCGCTCCTGTTTGCCAGATCTGGGCCACAATTAAGCAATAGTAATTTCATATATCAGTCAGAATTCAACCAATTAAACCAGATCTGGGCCAAATTTGCCATATCTTCTCTGGGCCACTTTAGGCTCACAGTCACATTAGCCAAAGCTTACTATGTCGAATATTTGCCAAAAGTGGCCCACATATGTTTTAAGATAACTGGGCCACATTTGCCATATCTTCACTGGGCAACTTCACGCTCAAAGCAACATTAGCCAGAGCTTACTGTGCCAAATATTTGCAAAAAGTGTCTCACATATGTTTTAAAATAACTGGGCCACATTTGCCATATTTTCTTTGTGCCACTTTCGGCTTACAGCCACATTAGCCAGTGCTTACTGTGCCAAATATTTGACAAAAGTGGCCCACAAATGTCTTAAGATAACTGGGCCACATTTGCACCTACACATGTGAGCCATTTTGGGTTTAGACACAGATTACAGAAAAAATTACCATGCCAAATTTTTGCAAACTGTGGCCCACATTTGTCCTCTGTCATTTGGGCCGAATTGACCATTTTCCACATGGACTACATTAGGCTCACATTAAGATTACATTTTGCCATACGTGCCAAATCATTCCCTTAAATGGCCCATATTTGAGTTGGAATCTTTGGCTCCCTTTTGCATTTGCTCACATTCATTTTGTCTGGGCCGAAGGAAGACCACCAGTGCTACATAACTGTCTAAAGTGGCCCACATTCATATGCTATCTGGGTCTCATGTCTTTTGATCTATGAGCCAGACATATCTAAATAGCAATATTAACTGCTACCAAAAAAACCCACCAAGATTGACATCTTTAGATATTATTATAATTAATCATGTGTATATGTCTGTTCAAATACACACTCAAAACCCAGACTTTCGCTCCACTTCAAATTGCATGAATAGAATTTGTTTGGCAAACAGCGTCTATTTATTACTATGGAGCGCGTAAACTGACAGTCCTGCACTGCTATATGACTGTTTTGAGGATTGCATATGAAGGGGAGACAGCACCTGTAATGAAAAGGAAAGGGAATCCTGCCATTTTTATATTTATTTTAAAAGATTTTCAATCCTAAACAAAGCGAAAGCACAGAACAGACTCCTATTTAAGAGCAAGGGGCGCCCCCTGGTGGTTTGGCGGTATGGGTTGCATATAGGGAGGATCAGCTCTTTAATGTTTATTGCCAGCCTTCAGAAAAAGACTTAAAATATGGGAGAAATAAGGGAAAATACCTATACGGTATGATAGCAGGATAGAACTTTAAAAATCAGGAGATTCCCGGGAAAAACAGGAGGGTTGACAGGTATGAATACTCAATACTCTTGAGTACTTTTAAAAGGGCTACTTTTTACTCATACTTTGTGTAATATTTACAACTGATACTTTTTACTCTAACTTTTTAGGCAAGTAATGGTACTTTTACTTGAGTATGATTTTTCAGTACTCTTTCCACCACTGGTTATGACTGGCTCGCACAATTTTTTAAAGTAAACATATGAATCACTTTTTACAGTGTACAAAGGATGGTGGCATACTCACAATATTCATGAGGGTGAGCAGATAGTTCTGCACATGCTCCTTCCCATGGAATCGGACGACAGAATCATCAACTCCGAGCAAAATCTCAATGTTGTAGTCCTCATCACCAGCATGTCTCCGTCTCCTCACTGTCTTGTTGACTTGTTTAGCAATATTGTCCAGCATTCTTGGCGTGTCCAATTCAGGCTCTGCAAGACAAAACGGTTAGTCTTAGAGTGCCTTATCTTCAACATTAGCTAAAAACAGCATATTAAACAGAAAAAAACCCTCTGTCAATTATGATGAATACAAAGTATCAAGCTTTTTTTCACAGAGACTAAGTGGATGTCATCCAAGAACAACAGAAAGCAATCATAACATGGGCTCTTCATGATCCAACATCAATCTATGCTATAAACCAATGTCTTTTTTAAACGCTGCTGCTTAAATAAATATTCCAAACGTCTTGCTCTTTGGCTGGCTCAGAGCTACAGTGTGGGGATTGTGAGGAACATTCCTCAGCTCCTACATCCCGTCATGACACACGCATTCTTGTGTGGCCCAGCTCCCAAAAGAGTAAACACAGTCTCTGAGGTTCCACTTCAAAAAGCACAGGGCTTCCCCTCACGCTCAGACGTGCCGTGTGTCCCTCACAGGTTCTCTGGACCACATCGTCTCCAAGCACACCCTCGTGCTCCTGAGGGGCTGCCATTTACACATGGTTAAGCGCGGATAACGCACACATGGCAAACCTGCCTAACCCGCCGGCCCCAATTCTAAAAATGACTTGTGATGGCAAATGAGACCATCCAGATCACCAATGGAAATCTACCATGTCCCGAATGCAAAACTGCAGAGTTAGTCCATAAAACAGGTCAAACAAAGTGTGTGAGTGTGTGTGTATACATTAAAGGTGTTGTTGGAAAATTGGTCTATACATGTGTAAGAGGCAGATAATGAAATTCACACCATTATACAGTGCAAAATGAAAACAATATATATGTTTACTCTTTTGTTGTTTGAGGTTGAGAGGGTAGTCTCACGTAAACAGAAATATACAGTACACTTATACCATCATCCAACCAGTCATTCATCTGAGAACACCAACTTTAGTTGACAAAAGAGTCAATGACACAAACTGCACATACTTAAAAATATTGATGTTTATTGATGCTGTGTTTTGTACATGTTTTTTGCTGATTCACAATCTGCGGGAAAAAAAGATCTGCTTTACTGATGCACAATGTATTCCGTGAGCCTGTGTTGTTACTGTTACTAAAGATATCTTAGTTTTTTTTTTTGTTTTTTTTTTGCCCTTGAGTCCGAATCCGAGTCATTTGATTTTGTGTATCTACCGATACCAAAACCTAATCTGATAATTCTATAATACATTAAAAAGAATAATGAAAAGCGAACTAACAGATACAGTTTGTTCCTTATTTTACCATTGAACAGCTCTGTTAACAAACAGAGCACTTCTGTGAGGTAGTTTTAACAATCAAGTAATAAATACCATCAATTCTTTACTTTTGGACTTTAGTGCAACAGTAAATATAAACAAAATCAAACATAAAAACAAATAGCACCTCAAATGCCGCAAGTTTACATATCTCACAGACTTTGCGAGTCTTGTTTTGCTGTTTGTGACATTATGACTCAATGTCCTTGCTTTGCTAGATTCTTGCTTTTTTGTACGGTATTTTTTATTCCTGTCTGCTGCCTGCCTTTTGACCATCCGCCTGTTTACTGACCACGTCTCTGAATTTCCTGTACACATCTGTTTTCCCCTGTGCTGACTGTTGCTTGTCTGACCATTCTGCTAATAAACCCTGCATTCGGATCAGCATTCTGTTGTCAGCGTCCCTTCACACTACAAAACTAATAGCGTTTCTGAAACAAAGTGATATCAAGCCACACACCTTGCTGTGCCAGTGTGAAGAAGTCAGGAAAGAGGTCTAACTCTGTGCCACCGCATAACTATAAATGTGTTATTTTATAATGTACCTCATATACATATATATATATATATATGCGCAATATAAATACACAATACATTACATACAATACAATCGCATAACAGCAACGCTCCCCCACATTTTTAGCTATTAATGCTGCAATATTTGTATAAGATTGCAGAAGGATGGCTTGACAAGAAATGTATAGTTTTTTACCCTCATACTGATAACTTTTTAGCAATTCGGCAAACAACAGTTCAAACTGCTGTAGTTAAAATATGTTTGTGTTGACCTCAACTTGATCTCATTTCAATTCTCCACTCGTAAAAACAAGGTTGGCTTGCCAGCCTCACTATGCACAATAAAATGAGTCAGGAGGCTGTAGGCTGCTGTGGAGGAGAAATTGAATGCATACATGGCATCTTTTATAATGATGACACACAAAAAAACTAAGCACCACATGCCTTGGTTTAGTACTTTAATTGTACTTTTTTTGCTTAAATCCATTAACATTTTATTAGTGCACCTCACTTTATGCTGAATTGCTGAAAATTACACTTTTTTTTCTCTCTACTAGAAAATGCAGGAGACTACATGAAAACATGTTGCATGATTAAACCTACAGTATATATACTGAATAAAAATCTCTTTAGATTCTGGCTAGATGCTTATAAATTGCATATACTGTCATAATGAAGTAATACATGTGAACAAGTAATGAACAAATTAAACTGACATTAAACTGACAGCTTACTCTGATATTATTTGGTGAACAGATTGAGAATTCAATTACTTTTTTAATTCTGTGGAATGTATTCCCACATTTGTGATAGTGTGACTTTTTTGAATTAGCTTTTTTTGTTATTGTTCTATTTAAGATCTCAGGCTACATCCACACGGTATTGTTTAAAGAATTGTCTGTGTCGACATAGAAACAATGGATTAATATATACCTACTATAGGTGGTCCACCCAAGTAAAGCCTATGTGTGCAAAGCACTGCATCAAATACACATCTTGCTGCATTCTTCTTTGATTTTAGTATATCATGTGACTATATTCAACAGTTTAACAGTCAACCAAGCATATTTTTGACATTTATTTATTTTTTTATTATCATCCTTTTATACTTTTTTTGTACTCGCCCAATGGCCAAACATCCTCGATCGATTAACTAGTAGAAAATCTTCTCTCGCCCTACACGTTTCCTACTTCTCGTTGTGCGTGCGCAAGAACAGTCCCACAGACTTCCACAGACAATCTTATGTGCTCTGCAGAAACCAACAGAAATGTACCTTTTTTGGGACTTAAAAAGGTGTCTGTCTAAGATTTCTAAATCTTCTAAAATGTCAGAGATCCGGCTTTTGGTTTCGTTTTCTAAGCCGTCTTCATTTTTATTTTAAGCCTGATTTACTTTCACTTGGCGCCGCAGCTGACAGCGTGTGCACAGCCACAAGACTGAGAGAAAAAGTATATAATAAATTATTAGATATAAACGACTCAAATAAACATTTGTTTACTCAAAGAGGACGAAATTAGGTAAAAACTGGCTGCAAAATTTAAGTACATCATTAGAACTCATTTGCCTTATTTAATAGTCTTAATTTTTTGTAATTATTATACTTTTTAGATTTCCTTAATATTATTAATTTCTCAAATGCTGTAAATACATTTTTTTCTATTTGATGATGTTGATTTATTACAAATTGTATACATATCTCACATGCTTTGGCAATACTGTACAAAATGTCAGCAGCATATTTTACCTGCCAGTGGGTGCACATGGCTGCTGCATAGAATAAAAGTAAAACAAATAGTGGATTTTTTATTTCAACAGTCTTTGAAAAAATAAAAAAAAATTGTTTCCAAAAAGTTGGATGGCTACTGTAATTGAATATGCTGTGGGTGATGTTTTGAGATGTTCCCACTCTGCAACCCATTCTCCAAAAAGTTTGTTTTATGGTACTGACAACACCAGTGTCACATGGAGGGCTGAAACAATATTAAATATTTTGCGGATTGCAGAGGTTGGTGGTTACTTAAGTAAAGTTGTTTGTGTACTTTTTGAGTAGATTTAAAGATGTGTACTTTTACTCAAGCAAATTATTAGAGAAAAACAATTTCGTTAGGACTTGTTTGCCTATATAATTTGCAAATATCCCCCGTTTTTGGTTACGGTGCGCATGCGGCTGTGTTAGAATGAGGACTTGAAGTGGAAGAAGACGTGCAAGTTTATACTGCGATCACGCTATGTTGAGAAGGACATTCACGCTGTCTGTGCAGTAAGTTTATCCGACGATGTCACCCACGGCCTCAAGTTCACTCTGTTTTCACTTCAAGATTTCAACAAGAATAGTTTCATAATGTGATGCACCCTGTACATTAAACTGACATTGCAACATTTACAAACATGAATTCCAGCTCCAACCTGAAAAACACATAGTGGTAGGTGTCAAAATTATTCCGATTTGAACCTTATTAATGGCAACTATGAGTCAACTAAAGAAAGTGCAGTTTAATGGAATAACTGATTGGCCCAGCACATATTAGTCTTTCACACTCTCGACCACTAAAAATATAATATTTAAACTTTATTTTTAATATATATGTTTTTAAAAGTGACTAGAACCTACAGTATTTACTTGAGACATTTTTCATCAGATACTTTTGACTCTTACTCGAGTAACTTTTAAGTTTGTTACTTTTATTTTTACTTGAGTATACCTGTAGATTTTGGATACTCTACCCACCTCTGGCTGATTGACCTAAACTCATTGGCGTATGGACAAGGCCTCAGTTGAGAAAATAGTTTCCTATCTGCTTGAAGAAAACATGGGAGGATTAACAACCATCTAAGAAGGGTGAGGGTGATTACTTCCCTGGAAGTAAAAACTATTAGCAGGCAACAGCGTGCTAATAACAAACAGCAATAGGATCAAAGGATGCTGCAGGAGGCAGTTTGGATGGAATTCTTCCACGTGGCGCTTAAGGATAACACCACTAGCTGTGATCTAATGTGCCGGGAGCTACTTTAACTCTTTATTGGGACATGAGAGAAGTCTTGTAAACAAGAGCAGCTGAGTTAGCAAACATTGCGCTCTAAAAGCTAACAGTAGGGGGTTTACTGTACAAGATTTTTTAAGAACACGCCTTATTGGAGGCTGTCAGGTGATCTTTAACTTTTTAATTGTTACTCTAAATATCTTCTGATGATTTTAATTAATTCTTATCTATATTGCTCCAAAGGTTTCTGAG